AGTAGAAGGTTTTTCTGCTCGGTTCAGGAAGAAAGGGGGAAGACCCGTCGCCTGTCCAGGAGTCGGCTGGTCTTTGCAGTAGAACCAGGTCGACTGCCACCTGCGGACTGAGTCAGGAAGAGTCATAGCTGGAAAACAACTTTTGCTTCTCATCTGGATCCTAAGTCCCCTGCACATCTGAATCACTTGCGTCCTATCATCACTCGACTTGGCTTTCTTAACCGACTGAGAACGACAAGTGAAAATGTGCTTGAAGAGGCCCCAATGAGGACGACAACCCAAGAAATTCTCGCACAAACACACGAAGGCAGCAAGGTACACGATGGAATTCGGAGTGAAGTGATGGAGTTGCGCTCTGAAAAAGTTCAAGAAACTTCAGAAAAAAGGATGAGGGGGCAGGGAGAATCCGCGGTCGACATGAGTGGCGATAAGGACACACTCACCCTCGAGAGGCTGCGGCTCGATCTCATTCCCCGAGAGGCGCACAGATTCGTGAGGGATGAATCCCCCCTCAGCCAATTCATCGAGATCTTCCTGACGAATCACCGAAGGCATCCAGTCGCCCTGGATCCAGCCCGCGGCAAGGCAGACCTCGAGGAAGATCCACCCCGACTGTACTTCTTCACCTTCGCCTGCGCCGTCGCCTTCTTCGCGCGCTCCAGGGCCGCCGTCTTCTCCTTCACCATTGCCGCAGGCGAAGCCCGAACAGACCGACGGCACCAAGACGAGAGCAGAGGTGGCGGAGGAATTCGAGAAGGAAGGGGGAAAATGAAGGCGCACTATTCAAAAACCCTGGGCCAGCGACTTATATGGAGTTGCCTCTGAGTGACTGACCTGTAGGCCCAGACGATCCTGTCAAATCCCGCCACAGTCGCGCACGCAATACGTGGTGAAAAAGGTGGCACGGAGATTGAGGCGTCTCCGCCCTATCCCGCCCGATTACTGCGGCCTCCTCCGCCCCGCGCACTTCCCAAAAGTCGAATCCTGCAAAATCCGCGAGCAGCAGAACAACTTGTCAGACGGAGGATCTCCTCCACACCATCACTCGGAGCTTTGCAAGTAAAGAAATTCACTCGACTGAAACCAAGAATGGACCAAGGCAACCGAAAAAGAAGTTGGTGTCGTTATTTAGGTTCATGGACCCAAAGCAAGATATACTCATATCACACAAAATGGGCCGGAAGAGTTCTCAACTCCTTCCCCACTCAAACCTCGATCCATTCCGGGGCTAATAATGAAGCTATGTACCTAGGGTAGGGTCATGGACCTGTCCAAACTACCCTCCCCAAGGACATCTCTAGAAGAAACCACCTGTCAATCAACTCAGAAGCGTTCCACTCGACGGACTCGAAGACACTCGACCATGAAGCCAACCACTCGACAGCCAGAAGATCTAAAGTCACTCTGTACGCAAACGGTCGGCCATTGAGTAGCTTTAATGGTCATCATAGTACTTTATTTGTGGTGTTACCAGTAACGCCCGACCTTAATGTACCTTAAACCCTACATAACTGAGGGCCGGAGGGGTCTGGCGAACTCTATAAAATCCACCCCTCTCCTCAGTGTAAAGGGTTTGCTCCCCTATAACTCATACACACATAATCCAGTCGACCACCTCCGGGCTCCGAGACGTAGGGCTGTTACTTCCTCCGAGAAGGGTCTGAACTCGTAAATCTCTTGCATATACAACTACTCCATAGCTAGGATCTTGCCTCTCCATACCTACCCCCCTACATTAGTGTCAGATTTAGAACCACGACAGGGATGACGACGAAACTACCACAGTAATGTCATGCAATATGTAAAATTTGGGGAACGCTACATTGCTAACTAGTGTGTTGTTGTTGTGCACACTATAGTTGTGTTCAGAACATAATAATGTTTGTTATTATTCGTGTGTTCAGTGTTTCACTCACCGTCACCAGAATATAAAGATTGTTATAAGTTAACTAGTACGTAGACATTTGAACAACACCACGTAGCACAACTGTCCGTCAGGCTTTTCAATATGTTAAGCGAAAGATCAGTGGTACACCAATGAAGATATGTGAACTGGCCACAAGGGAGAAGCTTCAGCATTTTTGACAGGGCCTATTGCTTGTTGGATTTCAAGTAAGTTGTTGGTGCCTTACTGCAGATAGATATTTAACAGCAAACACCTCTCGTGCTGAAACTCTTCAGTAGGTTGGAAAGCTCAACATTTATAACCCGTATAGTATTAGCCAGACTTCAAGGTCTGTTTTGCAAATGGACCATCTGGTCCACTCATAGATAGATCTTGTCCCTTCTTTTGACATCCAATGGCCCATGAGCCGTTGGTGCATTCGATGCATGAGATCGCTGGTTGCACAAGATACGTTCTCAGGGCAGTTGCTTGCTTTTGTATGGACAATTGCTTGGTTTTGTTAGGCTTTTTTTGGAATAGGCAACTGATTTGCAAAGTTAGGCAACTGAGTAGCAATGGTAGGCAAATATTTTACCAATAGCAAGCAACTGGGCATCAGCGTAGACAATTTCATAGTACTTGTAAGCAATTGAGCATCAATCATAGAAAACTGACACTCAACGATAGGAAACTAAGCAACCATGAATGAATAGGCAAGTTGGGATAATGTTAGCAAAATTCATAGATACGCATAATGCAGTGAAGTTGCTTGTATGTACTCCCTCCGTCCGAAAAAGCTTGTCTCAAGCTTGTTCCACAAATGGATGTATCTAGCACCAAGTTAGTGCTAGATACATCCATTTGAGGGACAAGCTTTTTTGGACGGAGGGAGTAGTACTAAAGGTGCCCCATGTTTTATCTGTTTTTCTCAATTTTTTTACACAAAACAACATCATAGAAGTCCTACTAAGCCAAAAAAAAGAAGTTGCTTCCCTATAGCACTAAAGTTGCGTCTATTACACCCAAAGTAGCCCATCCAAAAAAGATCGACGAAACCTATCCATATGAGATCTAGATTTGAAGAACTCGTCGTGAGAAACCCAACGGTGGAAATGGTTTTGGATTCTGACGTTCCAATCAAAAGTTAACCCAAATTAATGCACATGTGACAAGATCTTAGCTGGTTTATTTGGCAACGTCCTAGAATCACGTGGGCTGGGGGGGGACGAGACTTGCCTGCTCCTCCCCGTGCTCCCATCCGTGCTCCCGCGTACGTGGCTTGATTTGATTGGAAGAAAATAAGGCCCGGCCCCACCCCCTGAAAATCAGGGGGGAGATGATTAGATTAGATTAGAAAAGAAAAAGAGAAAATGACAGCCGTAGGATGAAGTGGGAGCACGGATGGGAGCATGGGAAGGGAGCATGCAAGCCGGATCCGGGAGGGAGGCACATAAGGGACTGACTGCACTTTGTAGGATGTCCTTCCGGTTATGGTATAGGCGACCAATCGCACCAACGGGTGCTTAGGCGCTGGCTTGTCACGTCCTTTAAAGTTTGTGACTAAATTGCAAATGCATGACGCAGTTTAGGCCTCTTTTGGTTCATAGGATAGGATTATCATAGGAATAGGAATCTTGTAGGAAATGAGATGACATGTATCTCAAATCCTATGAGTAGGAATAGGAAACAAGATGTCATTTGATTGACACCAAAGTAATTTTTCCATTGAGTCTAGCCTCTTTTTTATTTTCCTATGAAATGTGGAGGATATGAACCAATCCCATGTAGGAATAGGAATCCATTCCTATGAACCAAATGGTTCTAAAGGAAAAAATCCTATAAGAATCCTATCCTCTAGAATTCCTATGAAATTCCTCTAAACCAAAGGAAGCCTTACTCTTTTAGCCTTGAGACCATCTAGAGTTATGGACACCAAAGACATATGTCACACTCTTTCATCTATAGAGTTCATCCAAATCCAACCAATTGACCGGACCGCCGTTTCCACGCGATTCCCCACCACTAGCACGCCCCCAGCACGTTCGACGTAATGCCCGAGAGGGACGCCGCTGCGCGACCACCCCGCATGTGGGCCTCCTCCCTCCTCCCCTCCCCTCCCCTCCCGGTACCGTCGGGGGGTTGACGTCGCCGCGACCGCGACGCGGAGCGGTGGGCGGATGGGAGTTAGTTAGACGGCGCCGCTCGCCTCTACCCCCAGATTCGCATTTTATTTTCTTGGCTCGCTCTCCAGCTCTCCCGTCCATGTCACGCTCTCCTCGCCTCTTTCTCCCACCCGTTTAGCCTCCCTTCTCTTCCCCGCCGGAGCACCCCGCCGCGCCTCTCCGGCCGTCTCCGACCGACAAGCAGTGCGAATAGCCGCGCAGACCGGACACGCGGTGTGGCTGGAAGTTCTTGCGGTTCATATAGCATCACACGCGCAGTTCCAGCCCCGTCCGTGCTCTGCCGAATCCAAGGTCGCTGGCGCGTACCTCTCCTCCCCTGAGGTAAGAGGCCATGGCTTTCCCTTTCTCAAGTTCCAATGCTGTTCCGGGGATTCTTTTTTCACGATCTGATCCCTCTGAGAGCCCACCGTTGACATTTCCACCAAAGTATCTTGTCGAGTCCACCCTCAGATGGATAATGGACCATTATCCGTTTTTAATATACCTGAGGTGTTCCATTTCGAAGCAGATCTCACCTAATTGCTTGCTCCAAGTTCTCGATAAATTCTGTGAGTGGCGATTGTCCAGGAACATGGCACAGTTTTTTGGCTATCTATTCTCCGAATTTGATAACTCAAAATCATATTTTCAAAGGGAACTAGTTGCTCTAGGCATGGGAAGTACAGTGTGAAACAAGATTTGGAGCAATAGTCACAGATATTTAGTAACAACTGCACCTTTTGTATCCTAGAGCATCAGTACCCACTACTGGAATCTATACGGAAAATTAACAAAATGAGATGCTAATGGAGATGCAGGCCTAGAGCCTTAAATTCAACTTCCTCCCAAAGTTGGCTTTTATTGCAAATAAGAAACTCAGCTGCAGGTCTCTCTTACCTTATTTCTGCATGATTTTTCTTTTTGCTCCAGGCACAAGGATCTTCCACCTTCGGATGCACAAAATGAGCCGTCATCCTCCAAGGGATCGTCATCCTCCAAAGGATCGTCATCATCTGGTGAACAAAATAGATTTTCATCATCGGGTGGACAAAATGGATCTTCATCCTCCAATAAAGAAATACATGGGTTGGCTGAGCAAAGTTGTTAAAAGTTCGGTAAATAAAGTTATAAGAGGACAATACGACGGGAACTTTAGTGAAGGCTATTCAACCCAGCACGCTACGTCACATGTAATGCCCAGTTTTGCCTTTTTCTTCTTCGCTGGAAATAACTAGCTGTAAAATGTTCATTCCTAAAAATGCATAGAAGCGAATCATGATTCTTCAAATCTTAATTCTGACTATCATATATTATCATTTTATCATGCGCTTCCTTGTCTGTTTATTATTCTCTCAATTTGAAATTGCTCTTCTCTGTGACAAATCACATGGGATAAATCAGTTGTGGGAAGTTTAAATTTGAATGCTACAGAAGCATAGATAGTGAGGGATCGAACAATTTGTGCTTTATTTTTCAGGAGCCACTGCATTCTTATATAAATCAGGGCGCACAACGTGGTACATGATTCCAAGATAAAATGAACAGCTTTATTTACTTGACTGTTGCTAATTTGGTTCCAATTGTACTGTAGGGTACACATGCCAGTGACAATGAAGACATAGATCGTGCTATTGCATTATCCTTATCAGAGGAAGGTCAAAGGAAGGGAAAGGCCATTGGTTTGTATTATCCCAACTAAACCAGTTTTGATAATCTCTAGTTTAGAGATTCTTTTACCTGGTTGCATGTGTCATTAAAGTTTCTTAGTTTGGAATAGCAGTTCTAGGTTAATGAGCATGTCCAAATATGTAAAGTTGATAGAAAGAATATTTTTAATGTTTTTGTCATTTGCTTTTACTTATGAACCAGATACTGATGATCATTTAGAAGAAGATGAAGAGCTTGCACGGGCTCTGCAAGAAAGTTTGAAAGATAAGCATCCTCTTCGTCAGAAAATTCCGGTGGGGGGAGTTCACTCAGATAGTACTCCAGCAACTAGCCTACTGCCAGATATCTTGCCATCAAGTAGATCGAGGTATTTGTTATAATAGTACATTATGATTCATCTCTAGTTTCACGATAATTTAGCTTGTGGACTTGGAAAAGTTTGTTTTTCTTTCGTTGACACTTGACACCACTGAGTGGCGCTTGCATTGCATGTTGCATTAGTGTGAAACAGTGAATAACAATCTAGTGTGTTGGTTTTTCTAACTAATCGATTTTATAGCAAAAAAAACACATGCATATATATTTGGTTGAGATGTGCTTCACTTACATCCATTGCTGTAACTTGTTGATCTCACAAAAGGTGAGAACGAATATGATTTTGGATGTTTAACCTCATGTATCATCAACTTGGGGGATGAAGCAAAATTCAGGACATGTAATAAAATAGCATTAGGCCATTGATTCATGACCAGCTTCATAGCATGATATGAGAAGGTACATGCCTGTGGGATGACAACGAATACTAGGGCATTCTGTTCATCAGGCTTGTGAATGTGTGGTTCATACTCTGCAACCTGCTTTATACAATATAGAAACAGCAGAAACCTTATCTAAATTCCTGATCTAAATCATACTGCTCAGTCCAAGATCAGGATGTGATTGGGACCGGGGATCAATATTTATGTTTCAAATTGAGTTTATACTCCACTGAAAAATCGTTCATGCAATAATGACCACTAGTATAGTTTCACATTTTATTCCAAGTGTATGGGTTGTAAAAGTGTAAGCTCGGAAAGACTTGGGTAATGTTGAGGCTTACCGGTGGATGCAGGTAATCCAGTTGACTGCTATACAGCGAAACTTTCCCGATTAGGAACAATTGATTAGTGTTAGGAGCGTATGCACTGTCTTGTTGGTTGGGTTGATTATGGGTAAACAATGTAAACATATGCGTTGTCCCGGAAGTATTATGTATTAGTTACCTTCATTCCATTACTTGTTTCCGGCATAAATGTGGTCTCGATAGAGACCTTTGACCATCCATATCCAAGTATGTTAGTAAAAAATATAAAAATTTATAGTGAATGAAATAATTTTTGCAAAAAGGTAGCAATATTGTTACAGGTGACAAATTTAAATACTTTTGGTAGTCAGATAGTCTTTTCGAAATTTAACTGCATAGTGACATATATCTTCCGCTTACCTTTAAGTTATGAAACAATTCTCTCTTTGCATGCTGCCATTGTTAAGTCACACTCTTATACCTGCCATATGAAATCAGTTGTCTCCTCGAGTTCTAATACCCTTACTGTAGAGTAAAATAGTGGAAACCTTGGGTTCTCAGAACTCTACTCTATTATAAGATGGTAGAATTATTTGGTTCTGTCTCCATTTGTTTTCGCCAGGAGCTTCTTTGTTTTGCATTTTTAATAGATATGGTGCACCATATGACTCATGTAGGGTTTGTGCTGGATGTAAAACTCCACTTGGACATGGACAGTTTCTCAGTTGTATGGATTCTGTTTGGCACCCTCGGTGCTTCAGGTGCTCAGCTTGCAGTGAGCCAATATCAGACTCTGAGGTACAAAAACTAACACATTTGATTTAACATACTTCAACTTGTGATAAAATTATAATGTCAGCCTTTCTGTTGGCAAGTTTGCAGTACATGAAGATCATCCATACCACAGTACCTGCTACAAGGAGAATTTTCATCCAAAATGTGATGTTTGCAAGAACTTTGTAAGCAACCGGTGTTTCAAGTTTATGAGTGAGCTTGAGTATTTGGTGGTGCCTAATTTTTAATTTATCTGTTGAAATGTGCTGATTGTATTTTTGTGACCAGATTCGAACAAATAAAAATGGTTTAATTGAATACCGGGCCCATCCTTTCTGGATGCAGAAGTATTGTCCTTCGCATGACAATGACGGTACTCCTAGGTGTTGCAGTTGTGAACGAATGGAGGTTAGGGTTATGGCTATACCAATCAGAAATTAACTGGCAGTTTAGTTCAGTTACAGCTGCTTCAATTCATAGTGCAAATATTCACATTTGATTGATTTAATGAATTTGGCATCTTCCATTTTTTATCATCAACCCCAGCCAAAGGATATCAAGTACATAACATTAGATGATGGCCGGAAGCTCTGCTTGGAGTGTCTATATACTTCAATAATGGACACAGACGAGTGCCAACCAGTATACATTGATATCCAGGAATTCTATGAGGGTTTGAACATGAAAGTAGAGCAACAGATCCCCTTGCTTTTGGTTGAACGTCAAGGTTTAAATGAAGCCAGGGAAGTAGAGAAAATGGTAAGTGATATGATATTCACCATTTTGTAATGTATGTTGATTAACTAATTTTTTAACCTGCTTGATTAGGGGCATCACCTTCCTGAAACCAGGGGTCTCTGCCTATCGGAAGAGCAAATTGTCAGAATGGTAAGTTCTTACAACATTTTCTTGTATGTCACCTTCATACTTATGAGAATTCATGGTAAATTAACATACACTACACAGATATCGAGACGACCAATAATTGGACCAGGAAGCAAAATGATAGACATTTCTACAGCACCATACAAACTAGTTCGGCGGTGTGAAGTGACTGCAATTCTTGTACTATATGCTTTGCCAAGGTAAATTTAGTTATTTTCGTACATTTTCTGAACTGAGCACAGTTGATGCTAATGTTTGATTGATGTTGATTCTGCAACCAGTGTACGAAACTGTTAAGAAGTCCTTTGTTGCGAATGTGTGTATGTTTGATTTCCACTGATTAATTGCTTGCAGACTGCTCACAGGCTATATTCTAGCTCATGAGATGATGCATGCATACCTTCGACTTAAAGGTACTATTGTACGTGTCTATTTTCGTTTTGCAGAATCTTATGCATACTTCTATTTTTGTGCCATCAAACACTGCTGCATCTACGTATTGATATCTTCTCTTTATTTATAGGATACCGAATCCGTAATCCAGAGGTTGAAGAAGGCATCTGTCAGGTCCTAGCTCATCTCTGGCTTGAGTCTGAAATCGTGTCAGGTTCAAGCAGTAGCATTGCAACCACATCTGAAGCAGCAGCTGTAGCAGCAGAAGCAGCAGTAGCAGCAGAAGCAACAGCGACACCTTCTTCAACATCTTCCTCGGCGAAAAAGGGTGAAAAGACTGACTTTGAGAAAAAACTTGGAGAATTCTTCAAGCACCAGATCGAAACAGATCCCTCTGCAATATATGGAGATGGGTTTCGAGCTGGCATTCGAGCAGTTGAACGATATGGCTTGAGAGGTACCCTTGATCATATCAAGCGGTCAGGTTCTTTTCCAAGTTGAGGCAGGGGCATCTTCAGTTTGTGAGCATGGGGCATATCCTATATGGAGATGGGTTTCGAGCTGGCATTCGAGCAGTTGAACGCTATGGCTTGAGAGGTACCCTTGATCATATCAAGCGGTCAGGTTCTTTTCCAAGTTGAGGTAGGGTTTTGCATCTTCAGTTTGTGAGCATGGGGCATATCCTATGAGGGCTTTTTGGTTCAGAGTTAGGCATACCAGCATAAGATGACAGATAGAAGACAGAAAAATGAGGGTTTAGTCATCATATACCATAAATTACAGAGATCTTTTCTGTTGTGCTTTAGATATGAATTTGCCATGATAGCAAGCATGAGAAACCTTTGGCTGGCAGTCTCATTTTATGATTGTGTGCACAATGTAAATATTCGATATACAAAAAGAAAGTTGAATGTATTTTGATGTTTGAAAGCAATGCCTTTCTGTATGTGTGTATGCAGTTCCATTTTTATGTCTTGCCTATATTTTCGACATTAGTGACAGAGCAAAACTAAATGCATGTCAAGGGCCAATTGTAAAATGTGCATGTGTTTGAGTATTGAATGAGGAAATCTGATTTTAAAATTTACTAAAAGATACACCTGGCATTTTTATTTTATTTTTGCATAAACAGGGAAATGTCTGGCTATACAAAGCAAGCAGATGCCCCTGCCTCTCATGTCTAGCTAGATCAAAGCCTGAACTCTCTAGTCTCAAGTGCAAACTTGGAACTGTGACAGCTCCACAATTTGACCCTGTTCCAAGATCTGCTGTGACAACTCCACAATATGACCCTGTTCCAAGGTCTGCCGCTGAATGTGTCATTGGAATTGTGACTGTTTTCGGATCATGAACAGTGCTGCTCGTTCCAGCCATCCCATATGCTTCA